GTACCCCGGTGTACTGGTCCATTAAGTCCCCTGATGTTAAATGGATATGCCAAGTAGGACAGGGATTAAGTTTACTTATTGGCATATCCTTGGCGCTCGTGCCTAAAGAAATGAAATGAAAATGAAATGAAATGAATAAGCGCCCCTCAAAAAGAGCCAAATATATTTTAAGCGCCCAGGCGCTTATTCGCACGAGCAGGCCTACAGTAACAGAAGGGGAGGTGTAGCTCTACATATTATTATTATTATTATTATTATTATTATTATTATTATTATTATTATTATTATTATTATTATTATTATTATTATTATTATTATTATTATTATTATTATTATTATTATTATTACATAAATAAATCAATAAACCATCAAATTCGATATGATCTCATGTGCGAACACTTATATTCAATTGTTCTCGAAATTATAATGATTATTATTAAAGAAATATAAAACACTAATTATTTTATTATGGTATCGTCAGCCTGGATTGGTTTTGCATAATAATGTTTAGTCATTATTGTATCTAAACACATACATGATCTCAGTTACGGCTCAGAAAAAGATAATTTTCTCAGAAAGAGAAAACAGGGAAACGCTGAACCTGTTAATTGTCTGTGCTCTTCTCTCTCCAACTTCGTCAACCATCACAAATACATTTTCTTATCTTACGCCCTCTATATTTACAAAACTCTTGCGAGCAAACTTGAGAGCCAAGGTGATCATCAATGTGTGCAGCAACCAGAGAGTGGTAGAATGTTGAAAGAAGAATGGAGTGGAATACCCTCTGAGAAAGATATTATGGAAGTTCGATTAGAGCCAGTGGAAGACTTTTATGAACTCGGGAATGAAATTGGAAGGTAAGTCGAACGATTAAAGTTGAGAATCAGGTTATTTCAAGCAAAGCTAGGCTAAATTCCCCTAGGCCAAGACTGTCGTCCCGATTATTATTTTATTTGTTGGTAGGTAGACAACTGACCGGGGCTTTTTCGTTGTATTGGCCCTGGTAGTACCGTAGTACGGTATGGAGTATCGTAGTTTAGTTACCCTTTTACTATTGTTCTGCAATACATCAGTATTACTGTAGTTCTCTTTCAGACCCTATACACTTAAATAATTATTTTATACATAGCACACTATGCTGCAGATTTTTGGATTTGTAAATACTCAGAAATAACAGTTTTTGTTTACAAATAATCAAAAAAGTAACTTAAAGCATAGAGAAAGCTTAAAGCTCTAATAATAATTGGCCTAGCCTGGACTCAGGCCATCACCAAGACTAAGAGGAAAATGTTTAAAGTTACTCATATAGTTTTAATTATGTTTTCAGTGGACAATATGCCTCAGTTAAAGAAGCTACATGCAGAAATACACAGGAAACATTTGCTGCAAAAATAATAAAGAAACGTAAAACGGCATCTAGTCGACGCGGTGTGGCACGAGAGGACATTGAACGAGAAGTCACCATCCTGCAGTCCTTTACACATTCTAATATTATTCGCCTTCATGAAGTTTTTGAATCTAAAGTAGATGTCACTCTGATACTGGAATTGTAAGTCAAACACTATTGAAAATTTGTAGTAAGCTGTTTGAAAACATCCATGTTAATAATTTATTAAAAATACTGTGTATATTTAGTTGCGTTTTGATAGCTGATAACATCTATGATTACCACTACCAAAGCAATCACGACCAGAAATGGAATATTGCACCTGCGACCTGTGTTTTGTGCGCCTGTGACTTAGGCATGTCACCTGTGTTACAGTGTTCAATGCACCTGTGAGCTGTTTTGGCTAGTGTATGTTATACAGTTGCAACCTATGCAGCATTTACTGGTTTATCACTAAAAAAAAACTTAATTCTTTTTATTGTTGACCAATTGCTATTCTAATCCTATTATGAATCCTACTGTATATTAAATATTAATTACAAATTGATTATTCAAAGAGTTTCATCTACTTTGCTCTGCTGGTTCTGCTTGGTTTATTATCGATAAAACAATTAGTTATACAATTACAAATTGGTTGTCATTAATATCTGATCATAGAACTTTAACTTTAACTAGTTATTTAAGACACTGTCATTATCAGACCCTCACTAAGACAAACAATTATCCAAACCAATCAGTTAGAAGCATAGTCATGTCTGTCTCTACATTAATAATATTTGACTTATTATGTACAGTATTGAGATAATATGTTTAGGTATGTGTTTAACTAGACAGTTTTTACAAATTTTAACCAATAAAATGCTGATTTCTGAAGTCTACATGAAGGCATTGATTTTAGATCTGTGTTTGCTTCATGCACACAATACTAATCAATCCCCTCAGGGATTTAGCATTAAAATAAGGCATTCAATATGGAGAAATGTTTGCCTTACCTGCTTTGATCGATTGCAAAAATTGTGTATTTTTGTCTGGGAGTGATGGTAGTGTTAAGATATATGATCCTATATCAAATTAATAAACAAAAATTGAAACTTGGTGTCAATGTTTGCAAACTTTTACATAAATAAGTTAATTGATTATTAAAATGTTTATACGCTACTTAAATGCAACAAGGTCATCAGAAAATAATGATAATACACACATTATGGTAAAGAACAAAAGAAGCATTTGGCTTAAATAACACAATGTTTTACGCGCAGAATTGCTAGTTAGGTGAGACTTTTTTTATACTTTGTTTAGCGAACCCGCCTACTGCAAATATTGATGATTTCAAATAAAAAGAAAATTTTATTTTTGGCCAATTAGGGCACCTGCCGCCACAAGAAAGTAGACATTTCAGAAAAAAATAAAAGTTTTTAAAAATTTTCATTACACCCTCCGCTGCCTTGCAGTCTCCAAAGATAAGATACCATGTAACCATGTATATTTTTTCCTAATTATATAAATTTGAAGCATATTTAACCATCCTATTTTACATTCACCAATAAAATTTTATTTTTATTTTCTTATCCATCTGGATGTTTTTGGCAAAACTATTTGCTAAATAAGAAAACAAAATTAAATTTTTTTTTTATTCCGCCCTCATCCGATGATCTTTGAAAAAATAAGTATGTGATACAAGGAATAAAAAAAGTTTTGCTTTACGTTATAAAAACACTTAATGCAACCAGGCCATAACTAAAAGTGCTCGACTTTTAAATGTCATTTAATCGTGATGAGAGTTGATCTGGCACATGATCCATCTACACTGATATCTGGTTTTTTTTTTTCTTCTTTGCACTTTTCAGTTACTTATTAGGTTTTATTTCATACTTTTTGTCATAAATTGACTTTTTGTGGAGGGGCACCATGTGCATTCTTTCAGATGGATTTTTTGGGGACTTAACTGTAAATCCCTTTAGAAAATGAAAAACAAACAAAAAACACTGAAATGCAAAAAGCCAGGGAGTAAGTAACAAGTGTGGTAAAAATGCTGTCATGCATTGATTTAATTGAAAAATAACTTAGAATCGATAATTGTTTATTTCACTCATATTGTATTTCTGTTGTTTTCTACAAACACAGCATCTGTGAACATTCCTCAGTCTTCTTCCTGCACAAAGCAAACACTTATTTTGTGTGCTTTTTTCATTATGATAGTCATGGGAATACCCTTGTGATAAGCCAAAATAACCCAAGCGTGAAAACACAGAATATGAGAATAAAGAAGTCGTGTGACTCCTTATTAGCAACCAAGGTTAACCAAGCATTTAAAAAAACTTAATTTTTGAGAATGAAGAAAAACTTGTTATGAAAGAAAACTTGTCCTCAGCCTTGTATTGCTAGCAATATGCTATTTTGAACTTGTCTTTTCAAGCTATTCTCCTCAATAGTGCTTCTTTTGTATAGAACAGTATAAATATATAGAATTGCTGTATGACGACAGATAGAACAAATATATCCAGGCTTAAAAACACAGAATATAAGAATTTAGAAGTTGTGGGATTATCCTAAGCAACCTAAATTAACCAAGTGTTTAAAAAAAAACACTTAGTACTTTAATCTTGCCTTTCTACCATTTTTTTAAATTGTTGATTTGTCTTGTAGAAAGTTACCTACCACAAATAGTATAAAACAATACACTTTTTTTATATAGTTATGCCACTATTATTACCCACAAATTTGATCAATATCTTCATCTCCTGGTTATGGATCTGCCGGTTCTATGTTCACTTCTGTTTGCGTTTCTACGTCTTGTTGGAAAATAATAAAACAAAATCAGATGTGCGTAGATATCAGACATAGTAATTATTTATAATTCCTGTTTGCCAATTTGTGTATGCTTGTATTTTGAATGTTGCCTTTTTTAACGCTTGTACTTTTTTCTGAATGTGTTTTTTGGTGTGAACTTGTAAAAAACTTTTTTTTGTAATTTTAATGTAAATTTCATATTATGTCTGATTTGTTTCATGCTTTTTGATGTTATTGATGTTAAACGTAATTTGTAATTTAATTTAATGGTTTTGATGCAATAAATTCAATTATATAATAATAATAATAATAATAATAATAATAATAATAATAATAATTACCATAGCAATCACTTATAATTATATAAAAAAATTATAACAATAACAAATAATTGCTATAGTTATTTTTAATTCTCTATTTTTCTCTTGTTTTTTATCTAAACAAATTTAAGTTATGTTATTTTGATGTTTTTGATGTTTAACATAATTCGTAATTCAGCCTTTTTGGCTGCCATGTTTTATGCTTTTTATGAATTTTTGAATTTTGAATAAAATACCATTATAGATAGAGACATGTGACATCAGCTGTACCTGCATTACTCAAGAGGTGACCTGGTTTCATCATGTAGATCAATCCCTAGTTGCGACGAGGGCGTATCTTTTATATTTTTTTAATTGTTTTTTATTTATTTTTAAAAAATCCTTTGACATTTTCAAACATTTCTACACTTGTTTTTACAGCGCAATAGACTTTTTGTATTTTAAACTTTACAGTATAAATTCACCATTACAGGCCTCAGGCTATAGGTTACTTCTTGTACCTTGTATAGGTACACATCATAGTGTAGGTAGTGGTTGTGCTGCAGTGTCTACCTTTACAAAAGAGTAAACAATTGGTTACCTCAGGCCTAGCTAGAAGTACAAAACAATGTTTAAAGTCGCTTTCATTAATAAAGACATTCAAAATATGGTAATACATTACATAAATATGATCCTTTAGATCTAAACAACACCAAAATAGTATCTTTCAGGACATACAGTACAAGTGAGTTCCAGCTTCTAAAATTTGATGAACAAACGTGCTGGTGCAGTGTGCACCTAGACAGTATACGCCATTGAAAAACAGTGAAAGTAACAGGGGAAAAAAAAGAAAATTAAGGGGATGTTACAAATATGGATAATTTAAAATTATCTAATTAGAGTCTTTTAAGTGATTGGAATGGTTGCTTTAAGGATGAGGAAGTTCATTATGGAGTATGTTTAAGGGCTGAGTTCTAGTTGAGTATTTTATAAATTCTCTTTACACTAACTTGCATAAGTTTATATTATTCAATATAATCTAACCTTTGAATTTTCCATTTTTTTTCCAACTCATCATTCCGGACAAATGTTTTGGAGTATTTTTCACAATATACATTAAGATATTTATTTTGTGTTGAAGCAAGTGTTACACAATAATCAGTTTTTTATTTTGTGAATATCTGGATGAACCGATGTAAACCAGATTCTCAAAGGCGTCCAAAGGTGCTGACCCACCAGAAGCCGGGCTGGGTGTGGCCTATACGATAGGCTGGGTGTGGCCTATACGATAGGCTGGGTGTGGCCTATATGATAGGCTGGGTGTGGCCTATACGATAGGCTGGGTGTGGCCTATACGATAGGCAACACCCACACAGAGCCTGGTAAGACTTATACTCACTAGTGGCGAAAGTAAAATTGAGGCTTGTTACATAACGTTCTGCGTTATTTACCCCTGGGTTAAACGATATAGTTATTTTTTGGGTAAGATCTGGCTCAGTTATATCGGTTCATCTAGGCAGGTACTGTATCTCATTTATTAACCAACATCACTTTTGATTTGTGTGATTTGTCATTTAAAAACGCAATTAATTCTGTTTTTAATTGCTTTTTTTTTATTGTTATTATTATTTTGAATTTGTTTCGTTAGTCAAATAGTCAGTTACTTTAAAAAAGCGAATATTTCTTGCCAGCAGAAACAGGCCCTTATTCATACAGTATCTTTACAGAGCACAATTAAAGCCCCTCTCCCACCTAGGTTTATTTCACCTAAGAGTCGTACGATTTCTACGAGTTAAAACTCGTGATCTTTGGAAAGGACCTATACGAGCTTATTACGTGTTAGCTACGAGTGAGGTACGACTTTATGGAGTTGGTTACTAGGTATTAGGGGTACTATTAGGTGCTAGGGGTAGGAATTATGCCGAGCAGAGCACCGAGTTAACTACGATATTATTACGAGCGTAACAAGTTTGTACCGAATTAGATACGAGTTAGGTACGAGCCAACTCGGTGCGCTCGTACTTACTCGTACTCGTTTTTGGGTGCTCGCATCAACCTCGTAGATGACAAAATCGCTGACGAGTATCCAGAGTAGTGTACGAGCTAGGTAGGAGTACCCCGAGTACTCTACGAGCTACCTACGAGTTCTTCGAGTTTACTACGAGTTATCTACTCGTGGCGATAATTTTGAACATGTTCAAAATTAGCGC